GATCGGTCAAAAAAATAAATGTGCGAGCTAAAAACTAAATAAATAAAAATGAAAAACAAACTTACCTTATAAATAACTTCAAAAGCTTTACGGGGTGTACAAAAATATAAAATAAAAACTCTTAAATCTTTCGTCTAACACAACTTCAGCTCGTCTAGTACCTGTCTTGCCAAATAACTCATTTGTAAAATAGAAGGTGATGGGTGAGCAACAACCACCGTCGTCCAGTGAGTAGAATATATAATATGTTAGTTAAACGATGCCATTTTACCCACTCTAAAAAATAAATAATAATATCAAATCAATATACAAATAGTGTCATATCACATCGTCCCTTCACATGTTGGTTATCCTTCATAATATGTAGCACCACGTGACCCCAAAATTGGTCATTCTGCCCTAATGTCCCCGTGTGCCATACATTTATTTCTCGAATAACCCAACACTAAAGTTCTCATGCTCTATGAACATCTCAAACAATTTACTGATCATATATATAATAAATTTGAAAGTACTTCACAAAATTTAACATGTTTAACTTGATATACTGAGATATTTGGAAATAGTGTAAAATCACATGATAACTCATAGTTTTCGTTTATCCGAAAATAAAAATATTTTAAACTCATTACCTAAACCACTCACCTCGATAATTCAAACTTTGACAAAACAACTCTACTAACATCTCCGCAAACCTCAAACCTAACTCTCTCTCTTTCTCTTTTCTTTGTCCCTCTATTTATGTATAATATATACACACACACATATACACGGACCATGCATGCAATATAATATGTACTATGCATGCATCGCAGCCAACGTACGTTTCTAGTGAGTTCGATAAATGAATGAAAGCAAGTTCTTACATAGTGGGAATTGAGCGGTTAAAAGAATTGAGGGCTAACCAAAATATTAATAAAATATAAAAGTGTGGTTTGATCTCCTTAAGTAATGAGTCAACTAAGTAGAAGTTGACACCTACAAAAGCAATCATAGTATTATTCACTTTACCCTTTATTAGTCTCTCCGCAAGCGCATGCGATGGGCATTTTTGCATCACGGGCGCTACGCGCCCCAAAGATGTGTTGTTTTAGGTATTCGTATATTTCTTAAGTGATTACTGAAAATAAATAGGATCTCATTGCCAAAGGAGATGGCCTTGTCCAACTATTTAGGCAAAAACTTAACTGTAATTGAAATTGAAAGGCTCGAAAAAGAGAGATTAGATTCTTCTCTTGAATCGCAAATAAAGTACGTGCGGAGACTTATTGCTTCTACACCAAAACCTATTGCTCATTGCCAAATGATCAACTAAAATGTAGGCACTCTCACGCATGCAAGAGACCGTTTTAAGTGATTACTAAATATATTTTATTTATGTTAAAACCAAAATTTTAGTTTGGTATTAAGTACTCTTTACTTTTGATTTTGGGTCCCCTTTTATTTCTTTGTTTTCGACAACTATTTGTTTTATTTTTTGTGCGTTTGGCAACTGGCATGTGGTTGTCATTCACCATTTTAGATACAAAGAATGAAAGAAAATTCATGAAAACTATATGCAACTGATCAAGAAAAACAAAATTCAATATAAATTATTCTTTCTTTTGATCAATTTTTTCCAGAAGATACACATTAGAATAGAATATGAAAAAAAAAAAAGAACATTTGGGTATCAATGGAGAATAGCACTTCATGAACATTTTTGTTTTTGTTTTTATTAAACAATAGATTTTGTTAGATTAACCACCGGTGAGATTCGAACACAAACCATCATGCAAGAGCTCAACTCTTTTCCACCACTATGGTAAATGCCCACTTGCCACTTCATGGACATTTTATTTTATTTTGTTCACATGCGTTGAATAAAATTGACATGCAACTACGCAAGCTAAATATTTGGGATATGCAATACACAAAATCATCTAAGCAGAAACAAATAGAATTAATATGAAGAGAAAACGTACATGGATAAAGACAAATAGATTGACTGTGAGTTTTACGGGTTTTATTGTATGAACAAACGTTTGCACTGTCAGATTTAAATGTAATGTGTCTTACACTTCATGTTTGAACCTATGGTGTAACATAAAACATATTTGCATAGCAAACCCGGCTACATCATTGTTATTGAACATATGGTGTAACAGAAAGCATAAGAAATCAATCTGAACATATGAAGACAATTAACAATGTTGTTCTACAAAAAAGAAATTAAGAGAAAGCATTCAATAGTGAGGCCATAACTAATATTTAATAGCATCCCACGTTGCCTCATGGTCGATCAAACGTCTCTAATTCACCGCGAAGTAAAAATAATCCTGAATCTTGAGAAAACCAAATTCAATTAAATAACAGTTAATAAGCAGCAACAATGGATTGTTTTAATCAAAATATTAACTGATTAAACAACCAAGTCATCTCATTTTTGCCTCACAAACATAAGCTGATGAAGCTAGCAAGAGGGTACAATTTGTTAAGCTTAATAGCCTTTATTGTCACAGCTTGTCTCGAATTATTATTATCGGTGATGTAAAATGACGGTTTTATCCTTGGATGTTGAAATTTTAATGTGTGTGACTTATTTTGGAGACTTAGATGTTATTTCCTTGGTTGGGTGGTGACCAAGTGGAGCTCACACACAACACACATCCTCTCTTTTCCTTCCCGTGCTCTCTCTCTCTCTCAGACTCACTCTCTCTCTTCTCTCTTGTACGGACGTCACCCAAAATCCTTTGAAACGTGACAGATCGAGGGACTTAAGCACACCTTTGTGTTCGTGAATCTCAGACGAATCGATTGGTACCATTTATAGGTAAGGAATCCTCTGATTTCATGTCGAACCATGAACCACCGATTTTGTCATTGTTCATGCATACGTGAAATATTGTTTTTCAGGGAATTTGAAGCTTATAGGAAGCTTAAGGAGGTCCTCACGAGTCTCGAGGTATTTCATTGGTAGGAAATGGACGTCGGAGGACTGAGATCGACGTGTATCTAGGTAAGCCGAACTATCGAGCTTTCTCGGGGAAAATCTAGTAAAAGTTAAGCCTTGAAACTTATATAACATGATTCTACATGTTATTAGCTTCATTTTGGTACCAATTTTGTGGAAAATGGTGAAAAAACGAAGGAGAATAAGTGTTTTAAAGTTTTACCCAGAAACCGGCGAAGTCGTCGGCGACTGGCGACTCGCCGGAGAAGAAATGAGTATCTTCCGTCAAGTTTGACGGAATATGCTAACGCCGTCAGTCATCTTTAACAGTTACTGTTGGGTTTTAACAGAATATTCCTAACGGCAGTGAGAGAATCCGTCAGGATTCCCTGCGCGTGGCCGTGAGTGTTACAGTGCACTCGCCGGCGCGTGGCGGCGCGTAAGGGGTCAAAAAAATATTGTAAAAATTTGGGAATGATCCTGAGGTTGTGTAGGTCACTGTGGTATATTCAAATACCAAAATTGAGCATTGTATGAGAAGTTATTAGCTAGTTTTGCCTATGTGCTTTAAATAACGTTTTTATAGTTAATTCGCATATAGGTGAGACTTATCCCGAGGACGAGCGTGTTCAAGGGTGACTCGAGGGCTACGACCCTTCGACATACTAGTGAGTGGGCTTTTGGTTTTTAGTATATATTTATATACTCGATATTTTCCCAAAAATGTGTTTAAATGAGATTGTGCCTTGAATGCCATGCATATAAGTTTATAATTCGTATATGAATTTGTATATGATGCATTATATATAATTGTGGTGATGTGGACGCTCAGGTAAGCTCAGGTAAGTTATGTTTGGTTATGTGAATCATCGATGATGTGATATGAAATTGAATAACGTTGAGTTCATCAAACTGCACCTAGGGTGATTGTGATTTTAGCCAGAAATATGGCACATGCCTGTTTATTATGTCACCTCCCACACCATATGCTCATATTGGATCCAATTTAGGTGCATAGACCATCTTAGGTGGTTCCGACTCTTAGGTGACTAGCGATTTATCGCCTAGCTTTTATGTGTGAGTAGTATTGAGCATGATTATATTACACCCATTATTGTCGTACATACCTTTTCATTTTGTTCCGACTCTTGTGCAGTATAGTGCCGAATAGGTCATTGTAGTCACTCTGACTAGATTGCTTTCTGAGCTATGAATTCAGCCGTACAGACTACCATAGGGGTTTCGGCTAACATGTTATATTTATATGAAATTATTCATACCTAAATTGCTTACTCTATTATATCTTGACATGGCATACGTATGAATAGGATTATGTGAAGCATGATTTAAATTGATATAGGGGTATGATATCCACACACCCTATTTTACTTCTCACACACCTTTTTAATTTTCAGCCGTCGGATCAGATGAATTGAAGAAGATCAACGGACAAAAATTATTAAGGGTGTGTGAGAAGTAAAATAGGACGTGTGGATAGCACACCCCTTGATATAATTTCATATATATATTTATGTACATGCATATATCTTGATTCTGGGAAAAATTATACATGTTTTACAGCGAGGGCTTAGATATGTTGATAAATGAAATGGTTTTGTAAAACATTTGTTTTTGCCCACTCACGTTTCCAGTTTTGCGCCCCTCCATGTTTTAGGTAAGCTTGCTGTCGGTGGCCTTGAGGATTTCGGCGGTTCTGACATATCTAAATAATAGTAGGACATTCCTGGTACTGTATAACTAGTATTTGTCCTACTGGACTGCACCTAGACTTATTATGCTCTGATTAGGAGTATTTACTTTTGTAATTGACTCCTAACACTTCCTGTTCTCTAGTGCACTCTAGTAGTTTCGATTTTTAAATATTCGTATATTTCTTATCTTAATTGCTTCCGTACTGTGGACATGGCTACGTCACCCTCACGTGACGGCCAACATGCCTTGATCTCGGTCGGGGTGTGTCATTTATGCACATAAAATACCTTTTATAAAACACCTAAATATATATATATTTTTTAAATGAATAACTTCATTGCTTTAAGCCACAGGAAGCTTGTAGAACAAAGTTAACATGAAAAATGAATAAAATGACAAGCATATCTATAAACAGCAGGAAAAAAGGAAATCATCAGCGCTAAATTCCTCAACTTTTATATCTCGAGAGTTATTGGACTGAAATGATGCCAACCATATGATAGAGAAACAAATAAAAACTTGTAAATTCATAAATCAAAGTTTTAACTCAATCAAATATTATTCCAATGAAAGTTGTAAAATGCAAATAAAGCCATTTAACAACAAACTGTTTCAACCATTTGACTACCCGCAATGTAGACAAAGAAATCTGATACTCATAGTACATAACTGCTCTATTTATATCTCTGCAAATGACAAATAATAAAATGGAAAACTGAAGTATACCTTGGCTAGTTATTATTTTGGGTCTCCATCTCCAATTGCTCCAAATAAAAGAGAAGAAGCGTGTGAAGGAAAAATTGGAGGCTTGTCTTGAGTTCTTGAGTTGGCACTGGCGGTCATCGACCACGTCTCCTAACCTGTAACGTGCTAACATTATCGATTCAATAGAGAGTGTTTAACTAAATCTTATCTCATTGGCAACGGCACATTATAATATCAAGCACATCTTTTGTGTTTATAGATAATAGAATTTTACACTTTTAAGTAGGTATCTATCATTTTTAGAACAAAAAAAAATTAGGAATCGAACATAAATATAAGCATAAACTATTATACAGAAGTTCGAAATGAAAATTAATTAGTCATGCAAACCTTTTTAAAGCAATCGCGATTCTATCTCTATTTGAATACAACACCATTGAGCTGAGGTTCTCAATTTTCTTAGCTTGCTGTTGCACCATCTTCTCTCTTTCAGCTTGGGCTTTTTTTTCCTCCAACTCCAAAGCCATATGCTACTTCTCTAACTCAGTCTGCACAGAAAGTACGCATGTCCCATAATACACTTGCATTCAACTAATTACAATAAACATAAAGTGTAACTCCAAACCTGCAATAACGTGTTTTGCAGATTGAGGATTTCCTCTGCCCAACGTTCTGAATGACATAAAAGAGAACTACAAATTGAAAAACTTGAACTTAAACTGTATCCTTTCTGTTTCATTTTTCCCTGCTCGAGGCCTTTCAAATTGAAAAGAGAACTACATAACCATTGTAAATACAAATCTTTAAACTTTCTTCAAAAAATGAAATCACAGAGAATTGAATTTTAAGCGTGAATCTAAGGCAAACGTACCAAAATGCCCATGATCTGTTACAACACACCACCCTTTGCCATCAACTTCAGTAGGTCATCTCTCGAAAACTCCTTAAGCCCTTCCGCAACTGCATTCATTTATCCTTTCCCACTGTCAAGAACTCCAGTGAATGCTTCCTCCACCGCCACCGGCAACGCCTCTTCGTCACCCGATAATGTCGACTTCAACCGGCAAAACATCGGACCAAACCACATTTTATGCAAAAAAAAAAAAAGAATCAAAATTCGAAACTAAAGGTGCAACATTTGAAGAGTGTGGTGTGTGTGGTTGAGGCATTTCAACAAACACTTACCTAGAGTACCCGGTGCAACCTCTTTCAGAGGTGCAGCTGTAGGAGAAGGACTCGTATCCCTCTGCCATGACCAGGGCGGCGGTCAATTCCAACGGGTTACAGTTTGGTTCCTGTAAGCCAATCTAATAAATTCAGGAATTTGAGCCCGTTCACGTTGTACGTCACTATCTTCATCTTCTTCCTCTCTCAGGGCAAGTTCGAATTAATTCAACAATTATCAAGGAAGAATTCAGAAATTAATTGGATCTTCATGGCAATTTTGAGCTAATTTGACAATTATCAAGGAAAAATTCAAAAATTAATTGGCGATTACCGATTCCGAGACCAGATTGGAAATAAAGGATGATGGCGCCCATTGCGATGCCTTGGCAAGAGCGTCGAGGTCTCTCCAACATAACTACTGGTTTGAGAAGATGATGGGATTTGGCGACAATGGGATGGACTCTGTTACTTTAGGCAACGATTCGGTTTTTGTATGGAGGAGTAAGACCCAGAGAGAGAGAGTGGAGGAGGAACGGGAAGAAGTTGGAGCGCAAGGATGGGGAAGTTTGTGTGGGGAAGTTGGAGTGAGACTACTACAACAACTGTTTCAAATACACTTTCCAACTCTTTGCTCGTCTAATTTGTGTCATCTTTTTTCTCTCATACCTCGCATTTTTACCATTTTATCCCTATTTTTTATATTTTTCTTTTTCTCATAACTGTAATTAAAGGGTCAATTTTGAATTTATGAATGTTTCACCGTTTTTGTCTTTTGGTTTTATATATATAGATTTTATCATTTCCGTTTCCAAATCATTTTCATTAGTTTTCTCAAAATTAATCCTCCCCCTTGAATTTCACAAAGAAAAACTTCCCGTGCAGTTTTCTTTGGTTTTTCTGACTCGTTTAGATTTGACTGCGATTCCTTCAAACCCATCATGGCAACACGCAATTTGGTTGCCGATTTCAACAACGAGACGGCGAACAAGGGCTTGCAGTTGGATTCTTCAGATGGGTTTACTCAATCGATGACAACTGGATCGTCACCGTCATCGTCTTCTTGTCGGGTCCCTCCTCCATGCCGAGCCTCTTGACCTCCAAACACAACCTTTTAAGGAGCCTGATCTCAGCTACCCATTTGCCCAGTGACGTTGCCTGACACTCCTGCCAAGCTTAGTGGATATTGGTAACCGGAGGAACTCACCTGCTTCATCGTGATGGATTTGAGGCTGAGGAAGCTAAGAGTATTAGACAATGATAAGTTTTCCCAAGAGATGTGGGGTTGGGAGTGGGATTGAATCCGGTGGATCTGGGAAAAGGTGAGGTGGTTTAACCTGATTAACGACAATTGTTCGTGGTGCTGCTTAGAGAACCCATCTCAAAACACGGATCATCGAGGAGGTGGAGCAACCATCGTTGTAGAAACTGGGCTGGTTTGGGAAAAAAAGGATGTCGTAGGAGGAGTAAGATGAGGTAGAAGGGAGCAAAGAGAGGAAAAGGGCGGAGAAATGAGGAGCTGCGGTGGTGATGGGGTGACAGTGGAGGCGACGGTGGTGAAGGGCCCAAATTGAAAAATATCTTTTTTAATTTATAATATTTTAAAAATATTTCTAAATATTAATTTTTTATTATTTTTGTGTTCACATGGCTCATACTTAACATCCATATCAACAAAAATGTTGACCCTATATTTGCAACATCATCTTTTATTGCCCAAACTAATAGAAAATTTAACGAGGGGTCTAACATTTCAACAAATTCGTTAGTTGATGTATTACATTGTAATGTTTAAGATATGATATCCACACACCTTTTCTTTACTTATCACACACCTTTTAATTTCCGGCCCTCAGATCGAATGAATTGAACAAAATCAAATGACATAAATTAATCACGACTGTGTGAGAAGTACGAAATGGTATGTAGATATCACACTCTGTATTTAAAAGATGAGGTATGAGTTTATTATATGATCCAAAGTTAAGAGATAAAAATATAATTTACTTCTCTTAAAAAAAAAAATTTAGTTGATTAATTATTATGAAATTTTGTAATGGATTTTGGTATATTTAAATGGCTTTGGTATTTCTAATGTGCTTTGGAATATTTTAATCTCACTATGTTTATTGAAGTAAGGTTTTTCTTAGTATTTAAAATTACCAAAGTAACTCTTTTCTTATCGGGATGCTACTCAGTACTACAATCTAGTGGTATTCCTTTTTAATTGGAAGTGAGAGATTTAGGTTCGAATCTCGTGGATGGCGAATTCGATACCAGATTATGTTGCCCATGGTGTGGCTTAGCCGAACTCCCTCTCCCCTTAGTGTAAAAATATCGATGTACTAAAAAAAAAAAAAAACTCTTTTCTTATCAGGTTGAAATGTGATACCTGCTGATAAAACAATTAAGAACTCAGAGCAGCTCCACCATATTCAATAGCCTGGTGGACCGGCTATTGCTCCAACCCGATTGCCCCAGCAAGCAACTCTAGCCCATGTGAGCAATTGGGCTCGGGAGGGACTCGAGTGAAAGGCCTGGCTTGAATTGGTGGCCTGAGAGCCTGAGGCCACATGATGCAAGGCTGACGTCAGCCACATTATAAAATTAATAAAAAAATATAAAAAATAAGTAACCAATTAATAAAAAAATATGAAAAAAATAAAAAAATAAAAAAAAAGATTTAATTTTTCTATAAATATCTTATCATTATCTTCCACCTTACACCACAATTTTATATTTTATCAAATACTTTGGATTGTAATTTCTTATTTAATGAAATGTGGTACAACGAGACTGATTAAATATCATATCCGAAATTTGAAATAAAATTATTTTTTATTATTTTATAAAATAAAAAAATACTAATATTTTATTGCATATTGTCATGGCTATTCAGTTTAGAGATGGAGATGCAAAAAATAATTATTGTTCATTAAAGACAGTTACGGTTCACTGTAGGCTATTCAATAGAAAGTTGCCCTAGTGGGCCTTGATACGCTAGAGTTGCTCTCATTATTAAACGGATCCTTAACGTGTGATCTAATAACAACCTGTTAATTAATGGGTTAACCCAAATCTATTATTTTCATGATGTTTCGAGTCGGGTTAACAAGTCGTGTACGAAATTGTTACTTCTAGTCTAAGGAGAGGCTTTGGGTTTTGTTGAAGTGTAAGAGGGAGATCACGTGCTATAGCACGTGCCATTCATATTTTTATATTCCATAGTCCAACCACCAATTCGGTCCTTATTTCCAAACACCCAGCTGCAACACCACGAACAAAACCCCTCTTCCGTTTTCAGGCATCACTGTCCCTATTAAACCTTTTACCCCAACCCTAACCCTAACCCTAACCGTCTCTCTCTGTCTGTCTGTCTGTCTGTCTCTCTAATATGACCACCGCACAACCCACCAAGAACGGCTTCGTCAACGCTGCGGAAGCTGACGCCCAGCCACTCACATCCGAAACCACCCCCGCCCCAATTACAGTGCCCGAGTCCGACCCAACAACAGATAACAATCCGGACCAAAATCCCGAACCCGAATCTGGTCCCAATTCGGACACCGGGGCTGCCACTACCCCAACGAACGTCGGCAACGATTCCACCTCCATAGCTGATAATCGATGGCCGGGTTGGCCCGGGGACTGCGTGTTTCGGCTAATTGTGCCGGTTCTGAAGGTCGGTAGCATTATTGGCCGCAAAGGCGAGCTCATTAAGAAGATGTGCGAGGAGACCCGAGCTCGCATTCGGGTCCTGGACGGCGCTGTTGGAAATCCTGATCGCATCGTGAGTTTTTCCTCGATTTCTTCCTTTCTACGGTTTGCTTTTTTGTGTTCTTCTTGTGATTGCTCCATGGTGCTGCTTTTTAACCGTTTTATGGTTGTTTTGAGATCTAGGGTTTGTGCTTTTCAGCTTCCTTTGTGTAATCCTCTGGTTAATTGTGGTCTAATGACTGTTTAGGGTCACTAATTAAGCTTTGTTGTTGCTAACAAGTGGGTGGGGAGATTAAATATTGAAAATTTAAGTTTGAATTTTGTGAATTTAGTTGTATCTGTGTCATGAGGTAACAGAAACCCTAAAGGTGAAGTTAGTTTAATATTAGCATTTGGTTCGTAGGTGCTTAGGTGTTATTGCTTAGAAAAGGCTATGAAAGGAATGATCTTTTGAGGTAGGGGTTGAAGTTTTGTTTTCGGGTATTGAAGAGAAACCGGAACAACTTGAAATCCGAGAACGGGGCATAGTCAGTATTAGGTGCTATGTGAAGATGGCCCTCTGTTATGTGATATTCTTTGCATCCAGCTGTAGTTTTGTTCAATCATTCATTGTTTAGTAACAGGCATATATAAGATCTTTCTCGAATTTTTAAAGAAATCAAGATATATGACAATCACAAATCTGAAACAAGACTTGATCATTGTTGAGTATTCTGCTATGTGAAGATGACTCATTGCTAGCCTAAGTCATTTGCATCCATCTCATAGTTTTACTCAATCACTCAATTTGTTAATGGGGGCATAAGATGAGAATGACAATAAGTATCTGGTATTCTGCTATGTCAAGATGACCTATTATAATGTGAACTCTTTTGCATCGGGCTTGTGATTTTATTCAAATTTCAACCACTCAAAATATAGTAAGGGCCACAAGATGAGTAACTATTGGGAAGTTTTATAAATATCTAGTTATAAAACTAAATCTTTGTTTTTAAGCATTGTTTAATTGGCATTTATAAGATTTGATGCCTTCCTAACAAGTTTCCACGGTTATCAACATCACGAAGGCATATCAACTTCCTTACCAACTCATTAGTCCTGATTAATTTTCCAAATATCGCCTTTTTTCCTTGTATGCTTGAACCAATCTCTAGTTCTGTATCTTGTATTCCTGTTGAAGTTCCACAGCCCCAAATGTTAATCTCAAAGTGGTTCATCACTATTTTATTGGCTATGAAGCTTCTTTCTACTTGCTTGTGTGATCTATCAGTGTGTGATGCCATTCAACCACAAAATGCCTATAGTGATAACATTCTATGCTGCAATCTTTCTGATACACATTTCTTTATAGGTGCTGATCTCTGCAAGGGAAGAGCCAGAGGTACCTCTGTCACCTGCAATGGATGCTGTAATAAGAATATTCAAACGTGTCTCTGGATTAACTGAGAGTGAGGGGTCTGGTGCTGCTGGAGTTGCATTCTGTTCCATCCGGTTGTTGGTAGCATCTACCCAAGCAATTAATTTAATTGGAAAACAAGGATCATTAATCAAATCTATACAAGAGAGTACCGGATCTTCTGTGCGAGTATTGTCCGGAGGTATGCTCTTATTATTAAATGATACACTTTTTTCTATTTAGTAAAATTCCAATGGTTGAAAATATCTACGTATTTCATCACTGTTTCCCCAATTCTAAGGATAATGTGTTTCATTGCTGTTTTTATGATTTATAGCTAAAGTGGTCAGATTGGTTATAGAATGAACAACTGAGAGAAGGGCTTACTTATTGGAAATTGGAACTGAAATGATAATTAAGTTTCCGTATTTGTTTTTTTTGTTTCGAGTTACTTCTGTGCTCCTACTTATCGAGGCTTAGCTTTTCCATTAATAATTTGTAAGTTAAGTGATCATGCTAGTGAAGATAAGTATGTTATTGTTCTAGTATGGTGAGGAGTTTAACATACATTCTTCTCCCTTTTCTTTTCCTGGATCTGAGTTGTGAATCAGTTTTCTATGGTAGAGTCCTTTAACTTCAGAATGGATGATGCTTTTACTTATAAAAAAATTGCTATAGCTTTATTTTTGAAAAACAAGCGTTGGTCATATTTGTTATCCCTGCTAGAAATACTCTGTCATGTTATTCATTGTCTTCAGATCCCTTGTTTATGAAACTAGTGTCTATTCCTTTTCTTCCCCTATTCACATTCCTTATCCATGTCAAGTGCCCTTGCCTCTGTCCTTGCTATGAAGTTATAAACCTTTCTTCCTTCTCTGATACCTTATTTTTATTTTGGCAGAGGAGGTTCCGTCCTATGCTGCTGCAGATGAGAGGATTGTTGAATTGCAGGGAGAAGCTTTAAAGGTTCTCAAAGCTGTAGAAGCGGTAGTGGCTCACCTGAGGAAGTTTTTGGTTGATCATAGTGTTATTCCGCTTTTTGAGAAGACAGTAAGCTTAATTCCCACTGATGTCTGCTGTATTTTCATTCTTTGCATTGCTGTGTATTAATTACTGGATCGTGCATCTTTAGCATTCGACAATCTCACAAGAGCGCCAACCAGATACTACCTGGGCTGACAAGTCGTTGCTGCATACTGCTTCTCAAACTGGAGTGAGCACTAATTACCCTCTCTCATCAAAGAGGGAGTCTTTGTTTCTTGAACGTGAAACTCAATTGGAATCACAACTCCCTTCTGCTGGAATTTCACTTTATGGAAAAGATCTTTCTATTTATGGAAAATATCCTTCTATTTATGGACAAGACCCTTCTGTTTACAGGCAAGGGTCTATTTATGGACAAGATCCTTCTCTTTCTTCTATCCGTTCTTCGGGAATTGGTCGTCCCGGTGCTCCTATTGTTACTCAGGTTGGTTGTTCTAACTGTTTCACATTTTAGCTAGACTTCGTACTGCCTTGTAATGAGCTCATTTGGGTCTTCACAGCATGCACACACACAAGGATGGTTGAACTTGACTCTTAACTTTTATTTAAGTTAAATGGGGTCAACAGTGTTGTATATCTTGCTTTCTTAGAAGGATGCTGGGGGATCCTTTACTGTCTAGACCTTGATTTACTTAGTATCAGTAGCAATATACATGTCTTGTTTATAACTAGAGTCTGATGATATGCATATACAATTAAGGCTGTATGTCTTACCAAATGACTCTACTATTTGGAGTAAAAATTTCTTGATGTATAACGTCTGTAAAATTTGTTGTCAATTGGAAATACTAAAGTGTATCAGATTGCGTCAGGCCTGTGTCACGCGCATCAATTTTTGCATTTATAGTCTCGGTAATATTATTTTATCTGTTTCATTTTATAATCAGATTGCACAAACAATGCAAATTCCTCTATCTTATGCGGAGGACATTATCGGGGTTGAAGGGTCAAATATTGCATTCATTCGTCGCAGTAGCGGAGCCATCTTAACTGTGCAAGAGAGTAGGGGACTACCTGATGAAATTACTGTAGAAATAAAAGGCACCTCATCACAGGTTCAGATGGCTCAACAACTGATTCAGGTATGCTTCCCAATGAGTATTTCTTTCTAATATCGAGGAGGCAAGAAGCTATAAACTAACTGTTTATTTATTTTGTTTAATATAGACCTATTATGACTCTTTGATATCATGAAAGATTAATTCATATGTTTTAGTTACAGAAGGTGAAATTTTTTCAAAAAAAAAGAAAAAAAAAAAATCTTGCATATTAGCATGCTGGTGGAGATGAATTTTTGACAAGTTATACACATTGAAGAATATGGAATTTCAATAGGGAGGAAAAGAGTGAATCCCGGCTCGGAAATTTTAAGAATACTTGGTATCTTATCTTGTGTGTTTTCAGGAGGTTATAAACAGTCGCAAGGAACCAGTTACAAGTAACTATGGCGTGATGGATACTGGATTGAGGTCATCCTACTCTCAGTTAGGTGCTCCATCCTACCCATCATCGTCACTACCCTCACAACCCTACGGCGGCAATTATGGATCGTCTGGTCCAGGAGGAGGCTACAGCATGTTTAGGCTCTGAATTAATTGGTAAGCAAGGACTAATGGTGGCTTTTCTGCTTTGAATTGAGTTATTTCCAAATGATTCTAATCAATGAAAACTTAATGTTGGAGGTAGTATTTATAAAGTTGCCAAGAAGGGGTCGGGGTCCCGTTTTGTCATCTGAATCATCAGATTCGTTGTGTTGGTAGCTTTCCAAGGTAACTAAGCTTGAAAGGGATATAGAAGACTGTAATGAAATAGTAGCGGTTTTCGTGTTGCTTCATGAGCATTTGAATATTTATGTTTCATTTTTTCAACTTTTATCAAACTTTGGATTTGTAATCCTGTTCTTGAATAAAAGCATTATTCTAGGCTAGTAACAAATTAAGAACTCCAGTTAATAAATTATCCATCACCACAAAAAAAAAAAAATAAATAAATAAATAAATAAAAAAAAATAATCCAGTTGTGGATATTCTACTTGTCTTCATGTATGAGATGAGGCCAAATACTAATATTTACTAAATTAAAGAAAGAATACAATTGTAATAATAATTTTATTGTAATACGCTTTATCTGAACTGTGATTTAAAATTAAATAAGATAATTAAACAAAAGGTACCTGAAAAAGCCAACAGATTGTTAATTTAAAGGATTCAGCTGGAACCATGAAGAGAATGACATAATGAAACTAATGTATATGAATAGAATACATGTTTCTTAAAGTTAATGTTTTAGTCTCCACTGTTTTAAGGTGTTCAAAGAGATGCTGGATGTAAAGCCTCAAATAACCCTCTTGCTACCCCCCTTCGTCCGAGACTAGTTCTCGGACCTTCGATTAGCGCTTGAACTCCTCGAGCGCTTTGAATTCAACAAGTTAAGAATACTGGAGAAAAGTCGTTAACATGTCCAAAAATTTGGCTCTCTGAAATTTCCCTGCAAAGCAAATGCCTTCAGGAAAAAAAGAAAAAAAGAAAAAAAGCAAAAAAAGAAAAAAAGAAAAAAAGCAAAAAAAAGAAAAAAGAAAAGGATGTGATGAACGGAGGAAACATCAACCGTACGATCCCGTACAGCACAACCAAAATGTCAAGAGACGATTAACACAAGAAAGCTCAAGAAGCGAAATTTAGCAGGAGGATCACAAAATTTCATATCCGCACGGCTTTAAATATTCTGAGCTGGATGATCAATAAATCCAACAAAACAAGTTAAAATTATTCCAAGTTTCTCAAATTTGCCAACATACAATCAAAATTCTCTCAGGGTGATTTTTATTTCAGGCTTAATTACTTTGGTCCCCCTGAAGCGAAACAAGAGTTAACTCTGTCTTGTGAATGACAACAACTTTTATAACGTGGGTACACCGCAACAGTAACACCCAGGATACATTGTCACATGTCACATGTGGAGAGAAACTTGTACGCATCATTATGCACATGGTCGTGTGCACTATACCGTGGCATGGAAATCCTCACGGTCATCTGTATTTAGCTGGAAATGAACAACAATTAAATAAGTATTTTGTTGAGGAATTCCAATAAAAATTAAAAAGACATAAAATTAAAGCAAAAATGACGAGGACATGATTCCTCAACAGCATGGATAGCTAGATAGATAGATAAGACTGTATATAAAAAGAAACGCCTTGTTTGTTCATTTTCTCTCAAATCTTAGAACAATGCCGACATTGAATCTGTTTACGGACGTGCCGGTGGACGGAGTGGTGGCCTCTGACATCCTCAAGGACGCCACCAAAGCCGTTTCTAAAATCATTGGCAAACCCGAGTCCGTGAAGTCTCTCTCTCTCTCTCTCTCTTCGCTGTCGTGTATCCTTTTTGTTCTTGCTGTTGGCATGCACATTAAGCGTTCAATGACAGTACTCAATGAATAGTAATGTTTTGTTTCCCATGCAATTCAATATTGTATTGGTGTTGTGTATTTATGTTTCTGTTTGGTTCCGTGTTCTTCAGTATGTGATGATTTTGCTCAACGGGACTCCGTCGATTGCATTTGCCAGTACAGAAGAGCCAGCTGTGTATGGAGAACTGATCTCCATTGGGGGCATTGGACCGGGTGTTAACGGCAAACTGAGTTCAACCATTGCAGAAGTTCTGGAAACTAAGCTCTCCATTGATAGCTCCCGCTTGTATGTCAAATTTTACGACGTTGAGGTGAGCCCATTTACTTGGTTTGTTGTATTGGATTGCTGAATTTCGCAGCTGCACTCTACCAGTATAGTAGAAATGTAGAATACTACTCTTCGTATTGCATAGCAACATGAATTAGCAGTGGGACTTCTGGTTCTCGAGGTAGAGCAACTTATCTCCACATCCATGCATAATTCCATATTGTGCTTCCCCTTCCCCGAATCACAAGAAAAGAGGAGAAGCTGCCATTTCTCACAAGGGCATTCACAACAACATTACTCTAAGAAGCTTTTGCCGTAGCGCAAAACCACCATACCAGAAAGGGACCGCTTCTGAGAAGCTTTACCAGATTAATTCTTGTATTTTCATTTGTCGTAGTGAAATTACGCTTGGCTAAGGTAGGTAAAGTTTAGTGGTAAACGGGCCTTTCAATAGATAGTTCGACCAAAACAAATATTATCTGATGTTGATTTATTACTAACGAGTCTGTATTATGCTGCAGCAACGGTCCTTCTTCGGGTTCAACGGCTCAACATTTTGATCACCGCTCTTCTTTTGGTAATATTTTCATCAAGTTCTGAATGCTTATGCTGGCAAATGGCCTTGTTAGTTGTTTCATCCCTCAGTTGCAATTTTGTTCTTTTATTATATCAAAGAAGTCTTCGTGTTTAAAAATTCAAACGACGATATACCTATTACCAAAGCATAGAGGATGCGCTCACGTGCGTTTTTAAATTTTTTTCACATTTTTCGCAAATTGTAAATTAACTATTATGAATTTTTTTAATGTGCTTTGGTACTTTTAAATTGCTTTGGTGTTTTAATCTTCTTTGGAATTTGTTATTCTCACTTGCGTGTCTATAGCTCTTATAGTAGCTAGTAAGGTTTTTTAGTACTTTAAAATTATCAAACTAATTTTCTTCTTCAAAGTTGAAACGGGTTAACCGTGTGTAAATCTGTTATTAACGTGTTCTTAACGGGTGACCTAATAACTTCCCGATTAGTTAACGTGTTGGCTAAAAGCTTGAAACCAGTTATTTTTGGTGTCATTTCGCGTTGGGTGATCGGGTAGTGCAAGAAATTATTAGGTCTAATTGTTGCAATAAACTCTTGAAAGATTTTGAATTTTTAGTAATATTAAATTCCATGTGTATGTGTTACAATTTTAATCATTTTACACTAATCCATACTAGGGGGAAGAAAAATAGGTTGAACTTGGGATACAGCAAGTTGAAGAGAAAGGCCTTAGAAACTAGGACAATCCAGCACTCGCTTATTTGTTTTACAATTAATATTGAATAAGTTGTAAATATTTTGTATACTAACCAGCTTTATGGAAAATACCTAGATTCTTGTGTATTACTTTAACCTTTACAGGAACACAACAGACTGTTGTCATTCATTCCTTATAAAATTTGATACTTCCCAAGAAGAATACATACTTCGTGAGTTGCGTCTTGAGTGGGTTGTCGCACCACCGTTGTGGGCGGGTCGCTGACGTTGTTGTGAGCGGCGTGACGGTGTGGAGTGTGTGCGTCGCGAGAGCAGCTGTGATGTGACTTTTTTACAAAACGAAAGAGCAAAAAATTGGATCTGACCTCGCTGATAGTTTTGAATCCAATGGTATCCAGTTGAGTTAGTCCACAACAAATAATAGCAAAAAAAAGAAAAAGCCCAAACTCTCCAATCTAATCCTTCCTAGCTTAAACATGCATAACACAAAATCTTATTATGTCCAGCCCACCAAACGTGCCTTGAAGTTATAGGTAAACATTATTTCAGAAAAGAAAAAAAAAGTTATACGTAAACATATAAATTAAAGAATGTCGTGGCATATGTTTGGAAAGAGAAAAGAGAGGAAAATATAAACATTATTTCTCATGTCTTGTGCCTTTATTTATACTAATAAGGGAGAGAGAAACTTGTTCTCCAAGTAATACAAACACTAAAAAGAAATATCTTCTAGATTTTATAGGATTCCTATACATAATACCATTTACACAATCACACGTGATAAATACAACATTCCCCCTTGAGTGTGTAAATACTTAAGTAGTTTGTGCATCAGATCTTCAGGCAAATGTAGAAGTAGTTGATGAAGTCGTCTCGTCCAGTCGGCACAAGTAGCAATCACGAGTTTCAAATAAGGGTTGCATATAAGAGTAAGTCTCTCCAAAACCTGGCTATGGTAAACCCAAAGGGAAAAAACCCATAATATACGGAGAAAAATGTGAGCTGATGCAACATGTGGATACTTTACTTTTTCAGGATATAAGCAGTAAGAAAAATGCACACAAGGGTATGACCATCCCAGTGTGGGTGTCTTATCAAAATCTCGTTAGGTTAGCAAAAACCAAGTGGAAAAAAATGCTTCAGAACAAAGGCAGAAATAGTACATTAAGGTCAATTAAATATACTTCAGAACACTCATTCTAAGTTCGACAAAACTCTCATTCAGAATTACAAGTGTTGCAAACAAGATAGTTACGCATACCAATTCCTCAGACAAGCTTTATGAAAGGTGAGTAGGATTCTCTCCTCCAAATCACTGCCCTTTATTTCCTTTCTTATTTAAACTGTGACGACCCGTCCCTAATTTTCATATGTAATTTCTCCCCGAATATGTAATTTGGCGATTATGCCCTTATTGGCAAGTGACGTGGACTTATCCCTATTGCTTTCCATTTTAGTTCTCGCTATCGCATTTAAATTATACACGCTAGTACGAGTAGGCGTAGATTTTAAAGTGTAAAAATATCTACTTTGGATAAATTTCGATTTCCTTTTACTGTAGGAAATCTGAAATCATATCCCTCGGATTTCTTTTTCATCCCATCCCGTGCATCCCCTTTCATTATTTCACCCCTTCAACTATCCCATCTCTTCCTCATTTTCTGTCACCCTATCAGAAAAGCAAACCTCCTATCTTTCTCTCTCTCTTCTCCCTCTCCCACGCTAAACTCTCTTCTTCTTCCTCTCTGCCATCATCACAAAAACTCACCAAAAATCACAAAAGTGACAAACAAACTACACCATTGTGCTCATCTCAGTCCCAGGAACTCAGTCATGTCCTTGAAACTTGGTGTGGACGAGTTTTGACTCACTAACTCTGAAGGTCGACTCGGTGAGTTCGACATTTCGATTTTCAAGCCATTTATGGCTTAGGTAAGTCTTGAGAAACCTTTAGAACCTTCATTTCACTTCTATGGGTTGTTATTGATCCCTTGTTTGTGTTTTGAAAACTCGAGAAAAATGAGGACCTGCGTTTTTCATTCCAAAAACTGTGACCATTTAGTCACTTTCAAGCCATTTTTCCGGTCAACCTCGACCGCAACTGGGCTCCTTGTAGGTACAAACTTGTTCTCTATATTCCTAACTTCAAAATGACTTTTGAATCACTGAGTTTGGATAAGTAACGAGTTAGAAATCAACTCTGGAAGTTGGAAAGAAAATTTCAGTTTTCTGGAAAATTTCAACCGTGGTTGTTTGGCCACTTTCAGGCCAAATTTCTGAATAACACAGACTATATTCGAACTTTCTGTGAATTGGGATTGGTACATCACATTCCTAGCTTTAATTTGGCTTTTGTAGAAGTGAATTTGGTTGAGAATTGGGCTCGATATGAGCCTTGGAAGTTGGGCCAAAAATCTGCAAAAACTGTAGAAAATCGCAAGGAAGGCGAGTACAGTGTACTTGCGGGCGCGTGGGTTTTTTGGCAGCCCTTTTGGGTGGCTCGTGGGGGCGCGTCTGGCCTCCAGCTGGCGTGTGGTTGACACGTATGTGTTTGTGTCATCGAGTAGATCGATTTCATATATTTAAACCCTAGGTTTGAGCAAACTATGGGGGTTTTATTTAGGTTTCCGTAATGTACTTTAATTAATGTTATTTTAGTTATTTCACATATAGGGGAAACTTATCCAAGGATTTACGAGGCCAAGCTAGGCTCGGGGGCTACGACCCAACGACGTACTTGTGATTGGGCAGTTGTTTTATACTTATACATATTTATAGTTTCCATAAATGCGTATTTACTTCACTTTTACGCCTATATTGCCTAGTATCATTATTGTGATGAATGATGTTATATGGTTGTGATATTACTGTCATGACATTCATGCATATTTGTACATGCTCATCTTCCTGCACCCGGTGTTAGTATTCGCCCTAGGGCCAGGGCCAGTCCTTCACGTGTATGTTCACATCGCACCATTCGCTCGCCTTGGATCCAAGTTAGGTGCTAGTCCTGTTGGGTAGATTGCACTAGGCAATCTGATTTGTATGTGATGTGCTTCTGCACTAGTCTTTACGTGATCGTAGTATTAGAGCATATTGATTACATCCAGTCCTGTTCGTGTCAGAAACCATCTGTTCGAACTTGTGTGTCATCTTAGATGGATGAGCACTTAGATATACTTGATTATCACATGATTATTACTGTGGCATTGGATACATCATTACTTGGCATGTTTCTGATTATTATACTGCTTTAATATTATTGAATTATCGTTTATATACTTGAGTAGTATGTTTAAGGAAACTATACTTGTTTTACGACGAGGGGTTAGTATTTTCAAAGTTAAAGGTTTTCTTATAAGCATTGTTTTGCTGACCCACTCAACTTTGTTTTTTCGCCCCTCCAGGACCTAGATAGCTGTACTCTTTGTGGCACTCGAGGAATCCTGGCAGTTTTGACATTTCTTTCTGTTTTAGAGGTACAAACTTATCACTATTATGTAATAAGTGTACTTTGGTTGCTTTGACTACTCTTTCATAGTCTCACTGTCTATTACGCTTTGAATAATTGTAGTGGGTTCAACCCATGAATTGCACACTCTTTCACTGTATAGTTCTAATTAGTTTTAATTTTATTCACTTCTTGCATCACTTATCCTTATGGTTACGTCACCTCACGGTGATGGCCAGCATGCTTCGACCTTTCCAGGTCGGGGTGTGTCATCAACGGTTATGATTAAATCACGTCGATATAAATTATTTTATATACTAATTTATATACTATTTCTGAAACTGAACCAAAATAACCCACACCATTTTGGAATGGAACAAAATAAACAGTATTTATGAAATTACAATAAAATAATGGACATTATTTCTCAAATTGAACCAAAATAATCCACACTATTTCTGAAACTACATCAAAATTCGGCACTATTTCTGAAAACTAAACCAAAATAACCCACACTATTTTTGGAAGGGAACAAAATAAACACTATTTCTGGAATTATCACAAAATAACCATACTATTTCTAAAACTGAACCTAAATAACACACTGTAACATCCCACATCGCCCAGGGGAGTGGATCCTCTAAGCCTTATATGTATATTCTCATCTCTACCTAGCACGAGACCTTTTGGGAGCTCACTGGCTTCGAATTCCATAGGAACTCCGAAGTTAAGCGAGTTCACGCAAGAGCAATCCCATGATGGTGACCCACTGGGAAGTTCTCGTGTGAGTTCCCAAAAACAAAACCATGAGGTGTGGTCCGGGTCCAAAGCAGACAATATCGTGCTACGACGGAGTCGAGCCCGGGATGTGGTGGGGGCCTGAGCCGGGATGTGACAATTTGGTATCAGAGCCAATCCCTGGCCGGAAGTGTGCCAACATGGACGGCGGGCCCCTAAGGAGGGTGGATTGTAACATCCCACATCGCCTAGGGGAGTGGATCCTCTAAGCCTTATATGTATATTCTCGGTTGACGACTAAAACCGTTAGTCCTACTTCGAGTTATTGTTCTCTCGGATTAACTTTTGGAAATCGAGAATTCTTTCATAGCCTAACGAAATTCGGAGTAGTCTTACTAACGACTCT